GGGTTCTCAGAGGTGTGCTGAACCCTTAAGGAGGGGCAGGCAGGCTCTGCAGATAGCCACAACAGGTAAGGGCTGGCCAGGAGGGCTGGTGGCAGAGGACAGGCATCGTGGGCCTCGAAGGCCAGGCACAAGACTCATTCTTCTTGCCTGTGAAACAAAGTTTTGAGACTTTGGGTTTGGCCCATTTGGGTTGTAGACAAGCATGTGGCTGCCTTGGAGGGCAGTGGGTGGGAGGGGAAGCCTGTGACCCAAGGCTTGGTCCAGGGCAGTGACAAGATGTTCTGGGCTCTCAGCGGGGGCTGGAGGCAGGTTGATTCTAGATGGCTGAGAAATCAAACCTGCCCCCTGACTGAACTTCCTGACAGCAGCTCATCATCCGACCAGCATGAGGGGTCTTTCCAGCAGAAGGGTCATGGCTGTGGTCCCAAGGAGCAAGAGCAGACAGACCAGAGAGTCTGGGGCAGAAAGTCCCTGACAGTGAGGACAGCATGGTGGGGAAGGGCAGAGGTTGAAGGGAGGAATTTGGACCCCAAGGAGGTCACACAGGTAGGCTCCTGGCATGAGGGACACTGGCAGCAGAAGGAAGAGTGATCTCAGTCAGGGGCAGGTGCGATTTTCCCAGGATGAGGAGAAGCCTCTGTTTGAGGGCAGAGTGATGGGGGAAATGGTGCACTGAGCAGGGCTGGGGTGGGGGGAGCAGAGAGGGTCTCACTGCAGGCCCAGAGGCTTCTTCCCTGGGGATCAGGATGGCCTTGGGCTGGTGCCAGGGAAGGCACCAAGGAGGCTTCTCAGGGGAAGCACCCAGGACCGTAGAGAGGAGGGGCTGGGGAAGACTGGGGCAAGCATCCAGGCAGGGACACCCACGTCAAAGAGCACAGGAAAGGAGGAAGTTTGCTCATGGAGCATGAGGGGATATTGAGGCCACAAGGTAGAGACCCTCACTGACTTAGAATGCCACTTAAGACGTTTGAACCTCATCCTGTGGACAGTGGGTGTCCCTGAAGATTTCTGAGCATGTCGCTGTGGGCAGGAATGATGGCACCCAGAAGAGAAGACGACAGGAGAGGGCCAAACTGGACTTGGGGGACACCTCCCTTGTGGGCTGCCCTAGGCTGGGGAGGCACAGAATGTGGGCTTGTCTTCTGGGAACTCCCCGGTGGCCGGGAGGGAGAGGGACCCATGGCAGCACCCTCCCTCAGTCACCTGAGTTTCTGGAGCTGGGGCGATTTGCAGGAAGAGTCGGGGTTGGGGGCAGGGGATGCAACCGCCCACTGGAGGAGCTGACCTGGCCCCGCCTCCCAGGCGGTACGCACTTCTGCGCATCGTGAACGTGGAGAAGCGCAGGGATTCCGCACGCGGAAGCCGTTTCCTCCTGGAGCTGGAGCTGCAGGAACGCGGAGGCGGCCGCCTGCGCCTGTCTGAGTACGTCTTCCTGCGACTGCCTGGAGCCCGAGCCGGGGACACAGATGGGGACGGGGAGAGTCCCGAGCCTACTCCTGAGGTCTCAGCGCACCCCGACGGCCGCCCGGAGCTGTGCCGGCCGCTGCGCCTGGCCTGGCGCCAGGATGTAACGGTACACTTCATTGTGCCAGGTGCGCAGGAGGGCTGCAGGCCGGCCACCTGGGATCGGGGGGACTGGGTCCAGGAGGCCCCATGGGAGATGGGGAGTGCCACTGGCCCTGGAGAGGGTATCACGGTGAGTCAGGGTTGGCTCTGTGTCCCCATCCTCCAGTGAAGAACCAGGCACGCTGGGTGGTACAGTTCCTGGCGGACATGGCCGCGCTGCACGCCCACACCGGAGACTCTCACTTCAGTGTCATCCTGGTGGACTTTGAGAGCGAGGACATGGATGTGGAGCAGGCCCTGTGTGCTGCGCAACTGCCCAGGTAACAGCACCCCGACCAGGGAGGGAGGAGCATATCTTCTCTCTTCCGAACAGCGGATTTTCTTGCCTGCCGTCGCCCCGAGAAATGGGGGCTGTGACTTCCCAGTCTTTACTCCCCCCTGACCAGGTACCAATACCTAAGGCGAACCGGAAACTTTGAGCGCTCTGCTGGGTTGCAAGCTGGAGTGGACGCGGTGGAGGTGCCTGTGTGGGTTGGGGCGGGTGGGCAGAGTGAGATGGGCTGGGGTGGGGGATGCCAAGAGAGGAACTTGTCTTCCGGAGGAGGGGGTGAGGCTCAGACCTCCCCGCTTCCTCCAGGATGCCAGCAGCATCGTTTTCCTCTGCGACCTGCATATCCACTTCCCCCTCAGCATCCTGGACAGCATCCGCAAGCACTGCGTGGAGGGCAAGCTGGCCTTCGCACCTGTGGTCATGCGTCTGGGCTGCGGGAGCTCGCCTGGGGACCCACATGGTAATGCCCTTCAGTCATGCCAGGGTAAAATCCAGGCTCCCTGGGGGCCTCCCAACTCCTAAGGAGGCCAGGGACCCTATCAGTGCCCCCTATAATGCTCAGGACCCCTTGTGGTATCTAGGACCCCCAAAATGCCCAGGACCCCAGGTCCTCCCCTACTAACCCCAGAGTCATGCTCAGCCCCTAGGAACCTCCTCCAACACCCAGGTCATGCACAAGGCTCCTAGGTTATAACCAACACGGAGCAGTGACCCCGAGAGCCCTCCTGAGGAAGGATTTGGGTTTGCAGGACCTAGTGTCTGAAGGGCACCCCATCCTTACCCCAGGTTACTGGGAGGTGAACGGCTTCGGCCTCTTTGGGATCTACAAGTCAGACTTTGACCGCGTTGGAGGCATGAACACTGAGGAATTCCGAGACCAGTGGGGAGGCGAGGACTGGGAGCTCCTGGACAGGTGACCACTTCCTCCCCCATCATGGAGACTGAGACTTCCTTATCTTCCTTATCCTCCTCCTCTGAGGAGGGAGGGGGACCCCCAGGGGTCCTCACATGCTGAGAGAACTCTGCCTTCCTCTTTCCCCGACTCCCAGGATCTGTAGGCCTAGAGGGACCCTCAGACCCCACCCCATTCCCCAAAACCCCTTCCTACCCCAGGGTCCTGCAGGCTCAGGGAAGCGCTTGCATCAGTTCTGACCCCAGATCCTATAGGCCTGGTGGTGGTCCTGAGCCCCCACCCTCCCACCAGGGTCCTAGAGTGGTGGAAGCCCTGATCCCCCTAGACCCTGGGCAGGGTCACGACCACTTCCATCCCATCCCATTCCGAGTTCTGTAGGCTCAGGGCAGCCCTGAACCCCTGCCCTCCCCCTGCAGGGTCCTGAAGAATCAGGGCCACCCCAGTCACCCCCAAACCCAGTCTTGATCACCCCCTGTAGGATCACAAAGATCCTACAGGCTCGGGGGCAGCCCTGACCGCCCCTCTCTACCCAGGGTCCTGCAGGCAGGGCTGGAGGTGGAGCGGCTCCGACTGCGGAACTTTTACCACCACTACCACTCCAAGCGGGGGATGTGGGGCACACGCAGCCGGAAGGCCTCCCACAGGGAGGCACCCTGAAGACCAGCGACCCCTCCTGGCCCAGGCTGCAGCGCTGCAGTGGCAGCTGGCAGCCAAGCTCTGAGCTTGGACCCTGGGGACCCGGCGGGGCTCATCCCAGGGGCACAGCCACCATCTGTGCCTGGCCCTTCTGGCCCACCCAGGCCACTGCCCCATTTGTGCCCCTCCCCAGAGAGGCAGCCTTCATGGCAGGCTGGGGCCCAGGCCTGGTCCCCACGCCCTGTGTGATGATTTCTGTGAAATTCTGCCGTAGCGATGACCTTGTTTTCAGGATTTCCAAGAGTTCCATCAGTTCCATTTTTTATTCAGAATGAAATGAAATATTTTTTTTAGTTCTGACTCATTCTCCATGCCTGGTTCTCTTGGGTGGGCAGGGGCGAGCGTCAGCATTGGCAGGAGAGCCCCACACCCATGGGCAGCCCTGGGCACTGTCCCTGCTCCCAAGGCCCCTTCCTGACATGCAGCTGCAGCAGCCATGCTGACCCCATCCTCCTCCACCCTTGAAACCACTCTCCTCTTCCCCTTTAGCTTCTGTTTTGGGCCCTGGAGGGGTGGGGCCTGGCCTCCTTCCTCACCACCCTGTGCGTGGAGCCGCTGGTCACCGGCATGGCATGGGGCCTTCCCACTTGCCATTCAGCCTTCTCCTCAGTCCCCTCTGTTGTGAAGACAGGTCTCAGATGGCAGTCTCACCCCAGCCTCCTCACGCACTCCAACACTTGTCCCCAGGGTGGCAGGGGATGTTCCATGGCCAGGTTCGGGGTATCAGTTAGGACTAAGTTGCCATAAACAGAAAACCCAATGCAGACTGGCTTAGGCCATAATGGGGAGTTTGCTCCTTTGACTTTCGTGGCATACTTGGAGATTCAGGGTCAGCAACCCCCTGGTGGTGCTGACAGGCCTGCCCTTCCCGGGAGGTCCCGATCACAGGAGGGAGGCCGGCCCTCTGCCTGGCCCTGGGTGTGCCTGCCTGGGTGAGTTCCCCACGGCCACTGTCGAACCGACTTACACACACACACCTCTGGAGGTCAGAAGTCCTAAAATTGAGGTTTTCACAGGCCTGTGCTCCTCCTTGGACTTTGGGACTGAATCTGCTTCCTCCATTGCCAGCATCTAGAGGCCACCTGGATGTCCTGGCTCACGGCCTCCTCTCCATCTTCAAAGCTGGCAGCTCACCATTTCCGTATTGCTCTCTCCCTGTGTCTCACCATCGCATCTCCTCTGACTCTGACCCTCTTACAAGGACCCCTATGATTACCACCCAGGATAGCCTCCCCATCCCAAGTATAATCCTTTACGTCATCTGTGAAGTCCCTCTTGCCATGTAAGGTGACAGCCACAGCTTCTGGAGATTAGGGCATGGACATCTTTGGGGCCACTATTCCTCATCCACGGTC